GAAAAATCTGTTCTTTTTTTTTTTTTGCTTTCGACCTTTATTCACCATTTAGTGTCTAGTGTTTAATGTTCATTAAACAAAGCTTAGATTATATCTAACGATTAATTCTGGTTGATCAGTCTAACTGCTTATTTATTATCGTCATCATTGTTGTTGTTGTTGTTGTTATTGTTGTTGTTGTTGTTGTTGTTGTTGTTGTTGTTGCCGTTGTTGTCATTATTGTCGTTATTCTGGTTACCCTTGATGCTACTGTTACTGTTACTGTTGATACAGATGTAGCTGCCCCAGAAATCATGAACAAAATCTTTGATCATCAATCCAACAGTTTGATACCTATTAAGCAGTTGGAAGAAAAAAAAAAAAAGCAAATATCTTTGGTAGTAGTAATGTGACAGTTTTCTTGACTCATCCACCTCTTTCTTTATCTCAAAAAAATTTCTTCATTTATAACGTTGAATCGTCAAAAAAATTTGTATGAATCACTACAAACAAAGGTTCAGGAACAAATTGGTGTAAAAAAATCTGCACAAAGTGAAAAAAAAAAAAAAAAAGAAATAAAAACTATTTTAGTTACATATTTGGAAAGAAGCTATTTGAGGTGAGCTTTGATAACCCCGGTGGAAAATTGGTCTCCTCTGATAACCGGTCTGAAAATTTGATGAACAAAAACAAAAAAATCTGATAAACCAATTTTCACGGCATAAAATAAAAAACCTGAAAAAATTTTTAGAATCATTCAGTAACAGTTTATTTTAGTTTTTTTCTCGATCATTAATTTTTTTTTCCTTGTTTTTACCTTACTGATATGCCGCTCATCAACTATCTCCTAAAAAAAAAGTTTTGTTTTGTTTTGTATATATCAATAATTCTGTCTTCTTCTTATGCTTTTCTATTTCTTGTTTCACCTCATCTTTTCATCCACCTTTTCGTTTTTTTTTTTTGTATAAAATTAAACTGCTGTATTCGAATTAATTTCTTTGCATCACCATTCTTTCTTAACACAGAAAAAAACAGTCTGAAAGACCTCTTTTTGGGATATTTGAGCAAAATTTTTTGTTAGTATTTCTTCTCAGATATTTGATTCTGTATCAGATTTTTTCCTGCTGTAATAAAAACAGGTAGTGAAATTTCTTTTAAACTGTTTTTGAACTGTTTTTTTTTCTATTATTATTATGTCTTTCTTGTAATCATAACTATTGTTCAATAATAATGAAAGATAATTTAAACAGAACCGTAGTGTTCTGACATTATGGATATTTGAATTACAAATAAACGTAGAACAACATTTCTTCCTCAACATTCAACAGCAAATGGATAATGTTTGATCGCTGTTTGAGATGAACATCTTGACATCACGAACATGGTTGATTAATTTGCTGAATTCTATACGATTCTGTAGGTTTCTGCACAATACCTTAGACAATTACAAAAAACATCACTGTACGATTTGGTAAAACAGATAAATAACAGTTGTCGGCCAACATATTCAGCGTAATAGAAGTGATACTAGAAGCAGTATCACAGTTTTGGAAGATTTTAATTGCTAATTCTGAGATTACAATCCATAGATATTATCAAATAAAATGTTGGCTTGACTGGACAAAAAATGATTATCAAAGCAGAAAAAAGCTCAAAATATACAAACCATATGATTTGTCAACAGATAAAATTTCCAAACTGTATTCAACGATTTTAATTGTATCAAACAAAACCAAAAAACATTGTGCGGTATTTGGTTGGCTGTATCGAATTTGGATTGATACGTTTGATAACCGGGCAAAATGCCAGCAACATTTATCAGACTGTAACTGAAACAATGCTACAAAAATATTCCATTACAACGATTCCCAATTTTTATTCCACATCATTTTTTTTCTGATTATTAAAACATAAAAGTTTCGATTGTGATCCATTTTGATAAGTCTCTTTTTTTCTTCGGCTATATAGATAAAAAAGAAAAGAAAAGGGTGGTGTAAAATAAAGGAAATGAAAGCAAAAAAAAAAAAACTTATTTTAAAGAAAAGAGAAGAGGAAGAAACTGTAAACGAAGATGACTTATGCAAAAAATATTTGCATTCTGAACTAAAACGATAGAAGAAAATAGGAGAACGATGAACTAAAGATTGAGATAAATAAGAAACTTTTTTTTCTGTTTTTTTTTTTCCAGTGTTACTTTGACAGTTAATTTGTTTTGCAGCATTTATTGAACAGTTTTTATGGATATCTTTTGTTAATGACAATAAGGAATCCTATTGTTAGAAGAAGATTACTGGAATAAAATCATCAAAATGGTTTCTTTTTTTGTTTTCTCAGAACAAGTAAGAAAAGGTAAAAAATAAAAAAATTTTTGATACTGAGACAGATTTATATTTTTTGCTTTGCTTTTTGGGCTTTTTATCATAAGCTTTTTGATTTTAGAATAACCATTCAATTACTATCGATTTGAATAATCTAAAAAAAGAAAAAGAAAAAACTATGTCGATTACTTCAAATTATATTTCTGTTGTTGTTTTATATGCAAACAATAATTAGCAGTAATTATTATTATTATTATTTTTTTTTTTGCCAGCATTTACTTAATTTACAATCAATGCATTTTACGAGTAATAAAGATGTAATTTTTTCTGTTCAAATCTATAAATAGTACAAAAGAATGAAATAATGAAAAAAAAAAAGGTAGAACAATAACGGCAGCAAAAAAAAGTATATATCAAAGTTTGTTTCTAAGTTTGTTCTTTGGTTTACCTGTGAAAAAAAAGAAGGAAAAAGCAAGGAAAAAGACAGAATTAAAACTTGTTAGATTTTTTATTACATACATACGTATATTCTTTTTTCTTTTTATTTTCATCAAAACCGTTGATTGTTCAACAAAAAAATGATCAAAATTTTTTTACAAATGATGACTGCACTGAGGATGGCAAAAATTTTTTCCTTGCTGAACATTATACGGAACAGAATATTTCTGTCTCATTGTTCTGATACTTCAGAATCTATGGGATCAAGTAAACAACATAGATCCGCTGATTGACGACAGTTTACAGGAGATATCAATGCCAACAACTGACTCATTGTTCTAACTGCAATCTTTTATTCCAATAATCGTTTTTGTTGGTAAATTAGTAGGATAAAACAGTGGAAAGACAGTTTTGTAAGTCTGAAGCCTATAAATTGAATTATAGAAGAGAAGAATTCATTTCTTCTGTTTTATTTCCTTCTTTTCTTTACATACATTTTTTCTAAACTTTAATTATTTACATAATACTGATAGTAGAATCAAAAAAAGAAAAGAAAAACCTATAAAATTTTTAAATGATAATTATAACGTTTTTTTTTCTCTTATACATTATTGGTTTCATTAGAAAAAATTTTACAGATGCCATTGGTATTTTGGTTGTACAAACAAATAAACAGAAAGAAAGATGGAAAGAAAGAAAAGCTAAAAGTGTACAACAATTCTATTTTAAGAATCTATAATTTTTTTTGTTGTTGTTATTGTTTAATGATTCTCAACCTGTTTATTACCGTTACTGTTGGTGTTATTCTGTGCTACTAAACTATCGTCTATTTCTTTTTGTTTTTAAGAGCAGTGATAAAAAAAAAAAAGAATAAAAAAATGAAGAATAAATGTACATTAATAAATATTCAGTGAAAAAGAATAGATAAAAAATGAATAATATTAGCTAAGATTTAACAATTATAGCAGCAGTTGCAGTAAAATTTGAAACAGTTAACAATTTAGAAAGATCTTAGTAATATGAATCAACGAGATCAGATGATTCTGTTGACAAGGAATCTATTTACTGCTTCACCACGTGTTTTATACAACTGTTATTGTTTTTAGCAGATAACATCCATAATCGGTCGACGAACAGATAACATTAACCACAGAAGTTGCAATTTTTTTTTTTGTTCTCACATTTTCGATTTACAATCGTCAATTCAAATAACTGCTCAGTTCTGCTTATTCAGCTTTTTTTTTTCTGCCAGTCAATTAGCCCAATGTCTACTTTTTTTTTTAATTTAATACTTTCTTTCTCTTTTTGCATACCTTTATCAGTCAATTACAAAAAGAGATGACAAGAAAAAAAGAAAAAAAAGGCTAAAAAAATTAGGCTTATAACCGATTAACTATTGTAAACAAAATATACATTCAATATCACTCTGCCGTTCACAGATATCACAATAATCACTCTGTCATTAGAATTTATTCGACACATTTTTTGGAATCACTTTATCACTTTTATACAAAAACAATTATTTTTAGTCTTTTTTTACCAGAAAAAAAAAAGGATTTTTTAATCTTATTTTGAAGAACCACATTAAGCATTTGTCAGTTAGGTAGACTACTGTCATCAGAATATTCATTCTGTTGATCAATAGAAACATTTACTGTAGCTGAAAATAAGTGTTTAATGTTTAATCAGATAATCGGTTAAACCTTTTTGAACAATAAACATTAGTGTTATCACTTTTAAACAGTTCTTATTCAACATTAGTATGCATGTCAAGAACAGATTTTTTTTTCTTCTTATTTTCTAGTATATAAAAAAGAAAAACAAAAACGAATCAGTGAAACATTTCAACAGTAATTTTAAAAGACAAAAAACTTGTTGTTATATATCTGACAATTTTTTAATATTTCGTTAAAACATGAAAAAAACGAGGACATGTAAATACTATGTTCAATAAAAACAACAAAAATGTTCGTTCGGTTATCCCAAAATGATAGCAAAAAATTTTCAAATTAACCAATATTTCTTTTCATGTTTTCAAACCTAAAATTTTTTACTTTTACTGTTTTCTTAAATTGATACTGTAAGCTAAGGTATCAATAATGTATAATTATTAATTGCTGTTTTTATGATCTATATTTCTTTTGCCTTTTTAAAAACTTAACAGTGAAGTTGAGCAACTGTTAAAAGCAAAAATTTGCTGTTACTTTAGCAGTTTGGTAAAGTTGACAGATATTTATCAATAATTGATGCTTTTTAAAGTAATTGTTTAAAAAAGTGCTAAATATAACAACTATTAACAGTTAAACTGTCTGGTTTGTTGATCAAATAATTTCTGCAGTCACAGCAGTGTTAAAATATCCCGTAATCAGAATCTTAAAAGCTACAAATGCAAAAGTACAAAGACAAAAAATAAAAGAGCAAATAGCATAGAAAAAAAAAA